CCACCACCGCCCTGCTGACCAGCGCCGCCGCCATGCTCGCCCCGGGCCGGCCGCGGCGCGCAGGCGCAGCCCGGCCCCCGGCGGCGCGTCCCGCCCGCTCTCTTCCCCCTCCCAGCCCGCTCTCCCGCCAGCGCGGCGCTCACAGCTCCCTTCTCAGGTGTTTAATACACAGAAGATACTACTAGTAACAAAGTATTACCGGGTTAAAGCACTAAGCCGTTCACCAGGAAGGTATGCAGGAAGAGACAATGCCTAGTCCGGCCTGGACTCCAGCACCTTCTGAGAGAGCCACAAGAGCTACAAGCACTTTCCCCTCCGTAGCAGGTCGTTACCGCTCTCTCCTACACCACTTTTCCCATCTCCATCAGTTGCTACCCCACCAGAGACAGCTCAGTAATGTTCATCCAGATGCCACAATGCCCAGCTCATTGATTCAGACTGCCAGACATAACAGCTAGGTTTACAGTGTAAAGAAATCAATGAACTAGGAGTAAAGCATATATATAAAAAAAAAAAGGCAGTACAGTCAGTCCTTGAGCCTCACATAGCCAGAAGCAGCTCCATCTGATCAAGCATTGCTGAACATTGCTCCATTTCTGCTTGAAAGAAGGAATGCTTCTCCAGGGACTGGTATCTCTCTTCTTCTGCCAATTTCCACTTAGCCATTGCTGTCTGCATAGAAAAGTCAGTGCATACTAAATTTCACTAATACAAGAGTACTGAATAGCAAAGCTAAGTTCAACAATAACTTCAGCTGAAAATGGGGAAAAGCTTGTTATAGCAAGAGAGCTCATTTGAGCTCTTCAGCACAGTCTTACCTACTAAACTAAGATTAGTCGAGCTTGACTGGGATGTCTTTTCCTTTGCTTCTTTCAGAAAAATGGCAGTTTATCAAAGACTAAAGTTTAGGAAGTCTTAAATAACAGCAATTTCATTAGGTTAGCTCTTAAACTTCTTACCAAGAATTCCAGAGCTGGAATTTAAATGACTATTTGGGTACGTATACAGATAAAATGCTCACAGTATGATACTTATTGAACCTACTTGTGCTTACACACTTCTTAGTTCCTAGAGAGACTACTGGTCTCTCCAAATTAGATCAAGTCTTCCAAGTTCCAGTATAACCACCAGACTACTGGATCAGTGTTCTTCCAGTGGTGTCTACAATACAATACATCTGCAATACAGGCTTGTAAAACCTTCCCTGCGAAGAGATGGGCTTAGCAGAGATAGCTCGATTTCCCATATTAGTATCCATCTTTATCCTGTAACTGATTCAATCTTACTTGAAAACTATCAGTCATTACTATCACTTCCTAAGGCAGGTTCTATTCTCTATCTTGTTTAAACTTGAATTATATACAACTCAGCTTGAAGTGACTTAGATGAGAATTACTATTGCCCCACCATAAATCTTGCTATAATCCCTTCATTTAGAAGGGGAGTAACATCTACAGTTTCCTTATTATGCCTTTATTTATAATGAAATATGAGTCATGCCGTAGGCATTCACTACCTAGTTTATTTAAAGAATGGGCCAGCATAGGGAGGTGGAAAACAAAATTTCACTCAGCACCAGGTGTTTGTTACCTGTTGACTGCGAAACAAAGTTATGGTCTTACCTGAAGCATCTCCTTTTCTTTTGCTGCTGTTTGATTAAACAGCCTCAATTCTCCTATGAGCTTCTCAGTCAACAGCTGAAAAGCCAGAGGAAGATAGTTTAGTATGACACAGACAAATTGAAATTACTACCACTGTTGTGGAAACAGTTGCTGCAAAGAGCAGTAACACAAAGAACTTTTTCTAATAAAGCCCATCTAACTCATATTTCCATTTCAATATTTTCTTACCATTGTCTGCTTCCGACATTCCTTTGTCTTTTCTTCCTCCTCCAAAATCTTGTTGCCTGTAACTGATTTATGAGCTATATTAATGAATCTCTAACACACAGATGACTTTGCTGTACGAACTAACAGCTTACAGCTGTTAATAGCTTAGCTGTCAGAAATACTTTCTACAGAAAAAAAGTAAACTAAACATTTCAAAAATTTATCCAGGACAGGGTCTGCTGGAAAAAGTAGAAAAAGTAGAGGTACAATGGCTTTATTTTTGTAGCTTGGGGGGGGGGGGAATCAGTATTTCCTTGACAAGGAAGCAGAGGCTAGATGTTTTATGAACACAGTTGCAACTGGAAATAAAAGGATGTTCTGCAGAATATACCACCAGTGTGGTATATGGTACTAGTTTCTCATTGTTAGTACTGAAATGTACAGTCTTTACCTGGATCAATGTTTCTGCTTTCTAAAATCACCATGCAGGTCTCCTGAAATTTCTTGAGCTTCTCAACTTCCTGTAGCAGGCCTTCATTCTCCTCCCTTAGCTCTTTTATAGTGCCCTGTCATTAACACAGGTTGTAAGTGAATCAAGTTTCCAAGAAGAGTTTCTTCCTGGTAGTCAGTAATATTGTGATGCTAACAGTTTAGCAGGTGCTACCCTAGCACCAAGAATCACATCTTGCCCTTCTAACTTTACCACTACTGCAGATTAATCTGTTTCAGATGCTCACTCCAGCCCCTTGACTGGATTAATACATTTATCACATGCAGAAGTCACAGCAGTGGCTAACAAATTTGATCTAAAAAGAAATTATCTCTAGAATAAGTCTAGCATGCTGCTTCTTGCGCTATACACATTTCTTGAGTTTTAAACCAGAAGAGCATAGAACATAGGGAAGAAAGGGGCATCTTGGAGTCTTTGAGCTACACCATTATTCCCTTTGCAATTCAGATAGTACCAGGCAATCTGATAAGCTGATCAGCCTCCTAAGTCTACTACAAGTCTGAGAGAATTAACAAGCACGTGGATTAAGGTGATCCAGCTGATAGTATCAGAAGCTTTTTGAGCATTCCATATGCGGTCTCAAAGGCTCTTAAAGAAATTAAGCTATGAGATAAAAGGAAAGATCATCTCACAGATTAGTAACCAGCTGAGAACCAGGAAATAAAGTGAGCATTTACAATTGAAGGTTACCAGCAGGACCTTTTGCACATGTGATAGAATTTGTGTTGTTAAGTGTGTGCTACAGTGACCTGTAAAAGGTGGTAAATAATGAAATGCCATTCAGGATAGTAGAATCTTAGTCTGATAAAACTTGCCAGAGACTAACATTATCTAGTTAACAATATGGCACAATAGCACACGGAAGAAGCATAAGCTTACATACACCAAATTAACTGAGTTAGTAATACTAAGAATAATGTCAGTGTCCCTCAAATTCTTAGTGCCCAGCAGTGACCTAAATCCAAGTTCTTAACTACTAAAATGCAGGTATATACACTCCTGAAAAACCCCCATCTTCAATACTGTATGCAGTTCCCACACCACGCTTCTTGTGATGGGGTAACAGAACTAGCAGAGATTTGGCAAAGGGAATAAGGATGATCTAAAAAAATTGAATAGCTTATCTGCTGTATGAGGAGAGATGAAGTATGTTAGGAGGTCAGGATGAAAGAAAGAATTAACAGACCAAGTCTTGAGTGGTAATTACTAAGAGATTGTTTACAGTTTCTCACAATGTAACAAGGGAGCATCTGTCAACACTGAGGCTGTTTTATGCAAGCATATAATTGTGAACTTGAAATGTTCTCCTGCAATGAGTTTAAGATGGAATTGGAGCACTGATGACTATTTAACAACAATCTGGATAATTTGGCATTATCTAGCCAAATACATCTGCATTTCTGCTGATAGACCAATGATATCCTGCTAGGACCTGTCAAAGAACAAAAGATCCAGCCTACTCTTACACTCTACTAGCTTCTGATGGAGACAGAATAACAAGCAAGCATTTGGTCTGACCCTATAGAGGGCAGAATATAAGAATGGCTCAATTAATGTTTTTCTCCTTACCTGTGCTCCTGCTAGTCGGGAGTGCAGTTGTTGTTTAGCTGTTTCTAACAGCTGATTCTTGGTCTTCAGCTCTGTCTCTAATTTGTATCTGCTTAGAGGTCTGTAGAGTCAAACATCAAAGACTTAGGTGCAAAAATATCAGCGTTACATACCCCTTCTTTTATTTTCACCAAGTGTCGTCCTTTGAGTATTTGCTCTCGTTCATGACCAAGAGAGCTTTCATCAGTACACTTGCCAAAAGAAGCTGTATGTGGGGGAGAACTCATCATAACTCTTTGAGATGGAACATTGTTGCATTAGAGCAACTAGTAGCTATTTGAGAAAACATACCCTCTTGCAGCTGTCTTTTTTGAAAGTGGTTCCATTTTCTTGGCAGATTTAGGAAGCCTTAAAAAACAAGAAGAATACTATTACCACAGAAAGACACTGCATATTTACAGATTACCAAGTCTGCTGGTTTGAGAAGAACTGCAAAATGCTAAGCCACTTTCAGGATATTTATCAAGTAACAAATCCATCACTATTTCACTTTCACTTACCCTTGGTTTGTAGCTTTGAAGACACCATCTCCCGGCATATTTGAGCTAAAGTTAAAATTGGGATCCTTGCTAAATTGTAGATCAGCTGTTTTGCTGACACATTGTTTCTTTGGTGGAAACACCATTTGCATTTCTGCAAGAGAAAGACAGCAATGAAAATACCACTGTCTGCAAGAGATCACTGTAATGTGCCAAACTACTGGAGCTACTAAGCTTTCAGTTTGACAAAAAAAAAACATCTTACAGGGTTAGAACTGAGAAAGCAACAACTAACTAACAACTAAATTCTACTCATGGTTCAAAACAAGCCACAGATAGCTCATGGCAGACAGTGTTAAAATATAATTACTAGGCTAGCACTAATAGGATAAAGCTTGAAAACAATAATGCAGGCATGATAGTAAAGGAGGTCTCAACATTAGGCAAACAGCAAGCCACAGTGTTCCAAGCAAAGCTGTGCAGCACTGAAAGCAAATATATACAGCCCACATGAAATTCTCAGTGTAAGAGAGCTTTGTATTTTAATTTCCAATAGATATACTTTTGAAATAACTCTAAAGAGAACTAGCTATTTATGTAAAGTTTATTTGGCCATAAAGCACATACATACATGCATAGAGTAAATAAAGCTTTGCTTACAGAGTGGCTTTTCAGAGCTTGTTTTGTGAGCTAAGCCTTTCTCAAATGGCATATCTATATCCAATTCATACTAGAGTTACACAGGGCAGGGGGGGTTCTATTCCTACACACTGGCTCTCATGTTCTAAATTTTAAGTCTAGGTGCCTCATACTTATAACAGGTAAAATGCTGCAAGTAGTATCTGAAGACCTACAGAAGTAAGAGCCTCTGAAGAAAAGTATTTTTAACCTCACAAAGCCACTGCATCCAGATAAGCAGGAGATACACCCTCGGCAGGCCTAACATCAGCACCAGACCAGCAGTCATCTCAAAAGGCTCAGCTGTGATTCTGATAGTAACAGCCCACCCTCCTCAAAAACACAGGTTTAGCCAAGAAATTTTAACTGCAAAATCTTAAGCAGAGATGATGCAGGTGTATAATTTCTATCAAAAGGTAGCCTAGGTTAGGAAAAAACAACAAAAAACTCTTAATAAGATTTCCACAACAGCCACCACAGACCAAGGCAGCATCGGAGCTCCTTAAAAGCT